ATATATATATTTGAGATGTTTTACTACCCTGTCCATTCAGTCCTGCCAAACAACCAACCTCTGTTGGTGGCCTGATGTTTCTCTATTGCAGTCAAGAAATACAGCTTTGTCACAACCCTGTCCCTAGCCTGTAACTAATTGGTCAGGAAAGGAGCAGCAGCAGACCAATAAGCTCATCCCACTGTTCATTATGTTTTTTCTTCCCGTCAGCATGCCTTGTCATTACATATACTGAATGTTGTTGTATACTGAATAACAAAAGGTGGATGCAAAGTCATAATAAGGTACTTACACTGTATGGTGCATTTAAAAATATATGTACTGATTTTCCTCATACATGACTACATTAATTAGTGTTTTTTAGAACTATAAAAAAAAAAAACTGCTTTAAAGTTGAAATGAGTAAAATCATAAAGCTTAAGGACAGCATTTGACATGTTAAAGTGTAGTTAAACCTTTGCAACTCAAACAATGAGCAAGTATTTTATTAAGAGTTAGTTCACACCAGCCCGCTGAGCACAAGAGGACAATTTTAGCATGGGGGCTAGTGTCTTCTATGAGTGGTGCCATGCCTTGTAATAACGCAAGACAATGTTTAATTTCAAACCTTTATTGAAATGTCACAAAATGACATTTCATGTACTGCAATCTCATGCGGTGAAATGCTTTGAGGTGCATTGCGAAAAAATGTTGCATGTCTAAATTTTAATGCAATGCACTGCAACCCACATCAACACATTGCTGTGGTGTGATTAGGGCACAAAGAAATCAAAAGTTTTTTATGTGGTCTAGCGTTGAGCCTGTGTTGATCTGTGCAGATTAATACAGGTAAAGGTATATGGTGTGAACGAGCCCTTAGATATCCATCTGAATTTTCAAATAAACTTAGGGTCACAACATTCTGCAATTCAATAACTACCTAAAACCTACACTGCTTTCCTCATTAGGTTTATGTGAGCTCTTCTGTGGTAGACTATACATGACTGGCAGTGACCGAAAAATTAGGGAGTTATTTTGTCCATTGACATAGAAACCCCAATGCGCCGAAAGAACACCCATGTTAACAAGCAAAATATATAAAAGGGGTCAGGAACATTAAGACGTAGAATGGTGAAAATAGTTAGAGCATTAACTACATAGATACGGAGCACTCCGCAAATATGTTTTGGATAGATATGTTAAAAAAATTAACTTTTGCTTTAATGTTCCATCCTCAAATCAACAAATGTATTGAAATCCCCTCGAGTTAAAATAATTGCAATCAGATACCTTTAAGTAATATTTTATGCTATTCAAAGCTGATCTTAACACTATTTTTCCTTTGGATTAAGTAAAGAAGTGTTAAAATTGCTGTCAGGTCTTTGCTGCTTTTTTATCCATTTGGGAGATTCTTCCTTTACTTCCTGTCCAGTGGACAGATGCCAGACAGAGCAGGAAGCAAAGGAGAAATCTCACCTCACCAATCTCACCAAAAGGGATGCAGACAACCTGATAGAGGTTTTAATTATTTCCCAGTCTATTCAAAACTAGAAACAAAAATCCCCTTCCCATCCACAATCTGTGGATTAAAGTATCTCTGCACGACTACTATCAAACTCATCTGTCACTGAAAGCTTTGGTCCCAATGAATGACCTGGAACCAATTTAAAATGATTACTGCCAGCAACTATCTCAAGTGGGTTAAAAACATGGGATTCCACACCCACAATGCAATAGGTTAACCAATAAATTGTTGTGTACATTATATTTGCTCATTACATACACATGCCATTCTTTATACTTTTGTAGTGCCACACAATGAGTGTGGTTCCCTATGTGTGTAAGTCCATGGGTCCACTATGCTTAAAAAGGGTATGCCAAATTGTATTCCTCGATTTGCATGCAACTAGCATTTATAACTCATAATATCATATAATAAAGAATAAAATACTGATCAAAAACATATAATAATGTAAAGTTTGATGCCATTTCTACTTTTATAAACTCAAAATGTGTACAAAAATGTATTATTGTTCCCCTTAAAGGTGCCACAGCACGAACGAGCTCTGTTTCTACTTCAAATAATATTTATAACCAGCAATGCTAGAATGAGATATTGATTCTAACACAGCTTCTCACAAAACTCATACACAATCTTCAAAAAGTATAGTTCAAAACAGAGATCCTCCTTTGTTCCTATTATTAAACTCAAAACAATTCTAACCACTATGTGGGATGGGCAACACAAAGTTAATGTAATCAGAGATCTTCAGCAAATATAAGAATGTTATATCCATTTGTGAATATATTAGATATTTCATATTTTCAGTGTTATGAGTGCTCAGTTTTCCCAATAATTAAATCCATCTTCTAAGAGTGAAGGTGAGAATAATGTGCATTCATTAATTTAATACACAAATCTAAACTAAAGGAGGAAGAAACCAAAGTACAAAATGTCTACCTTACTGGTATTATCATTTTCATTTCTGTGTGAGTAGAGAATAAAGTTCTATTAATGCAGAGGCAAAGGGATGAAAGTGGAACTCTGGGCTAAATTAAAAATGGCATAGAGTATATGATGCAGTCTGTCAATGGCATTAACAGCAGTTTTCTGTTTTTCAGAGTCCCCCAGTAACAAACTTTTATTACTATTGATTCTTGCCAATAGATTATTGATTCTGCCAGTAGGTCCTTTATTTTATCCACTTCTATTAGCAGGTCAAGCCATCCAACAACAGTCAACAGGGTTGGGACAAACCATCCAAAACTGATAGCCTTTGTTCATATTGTTTAAAACTTATTTTTTCAAAAGAAAAAAATATATACATTGCTCTAACTGCTTCTTTACTTAAAATTACCGTATTTTTCGGTGTATAAGATGCTACTTTTTCATAAAAATGTTTACCTAAAAATAGAGGTGCGTCTTATACACGGGGGCCGCGGTTTTGAAACTGCTGAAAGTGCTGATACCACTGCAAACTAGCCTCACGAGTGAAACTTCGGATTGCAGAGACAAGATAACAGTTCTCCTCCAATCATAAATCTTTTCTACCTGACGTCAGCTGTTGCTGGGGAGAACGTGTAGACAGTGCCAGAGCGGTAATGTCGGAGCATTCTGTGACCATAAAAATGTCAGAAAATGAAAAACAACCTGTAAAGCGGCTGGCTTACTCTGCAAAATTTAAACTGGATGTAATCACTTATGCAAAAGAGCATGGAAATAGAGCTCCAGAGAGACAATTTGGACCTCCTCCCACTGAGTGTATGATCAGACAGTGGAGAGAACAGGAAGAGGAACTCCTTAAGATGCCCAAAAAGAAGAAGGCTTTGAGAGGAAAACCAGCAAAATGGCCAAACTTGGAGCATAGGCTTAAGACTTGGATTTCTTGCCAGAAACCAGTGATGCAACAGAGGCTGAATAAAGTGATTGGCTCAGAGGTAAGTGTGATGCATAATATCATTTAAAATATTGATTTCTGAATTTTGGGTAAGAAAAGTTGGGGGCGTCTTATACATAGGGGTGTCTTATAGACGTAAAAATACGGTAATCGTCCATCTAAGTCTGCCCTGTACACAGGATGACAACGTTACTCTGCTATTTCACTGCAGAAGGAGCAGCATTGTTACCCTTTAAAAGGAAGTGTAAAAACAAATGTATCTTCTGTCAGGATCGACAGGTAATAAAACTATGTCACAGTGTCACTCAGATATACAAAAACTGCGGTGATAAAGCTAGTGACAGACCACAGCTTGTATGTCATTTTTTAATTTTGCCTATAGAACCACTTTAGATGGCAATCAATGCAATTACGTATTATAAAACTCGCCAATTCCAAAAGACAGGAAGCAACTGTAAAAAAAATGGCTGCTGACACCTCAATTTGGTAAATCAGTTGAACTGATGTCAGAGTATGCACTGAGTGGCCAGATTATTATGACCATCTGACGTTTGTAGGCAAATTAGCAATAATTTCACGCTGAAGTTGCTAGAGGGCCAGACTATTATAAATAGAGAAGCAGGTTGTTTACCACGACAGTAGAAGTGATTTGTTTCTGAAGATATGGGTAAACAACGCGATTTAACAGCCTTTGAACGTGGGATGATTGTTGGCGCTCGGAGCCATGGAGCGAGAATCAGCAAAACAGCAGAATTCGTTAAATGTTCAAGAGCAGCTGTAGTTAAAGTGTTTAAAGACAGAACTGTCAGCCGAAAATCTGGGTCTGAACGTGCAAATTGTGGCCGTCAGCGACTAGTCAATGTTAGGGCAGAACAGAGAGTAACAAGGCTGGTACAAGACAACAGAAGGGCAACAGTGCAGTGTCAGATTCTTCGCATCACCTTTCAACATCTCGTGGAGTCACGAGGCGGCCCAACAAAGTAATCTCGTGGAGTCATCTTGTGGCCTGATCTCGAAGTACTGATGGGGTGGTCATAATAATCTGGCCACTCAGTGTATATTACTTCCATAGCTCTATGAAAAATCCAGATAATCCAAAATACCATTTGATACAGGGTGTTCCATGACACAGAATTCACAGAGCATTATGAGTTATCTAAAGAGAGCGAGCACAACAGAAGTTGCCCGCCTTCAGGATCTCTCGTTGTGATTCCAACTGAAGAGCATGGAACACATGTGAAAAGTAGTTGAAAGCGCAGTGTATGATAGTACAAAATATTTTCATATACAGCATTTTAGATTTACCTTGCTAAAAAGAATTTTAAAATGTTATTTTATTATTACTTTCGATAATAAAAGAAAAAAAAAAGAAAATATGTACAAAACCACAATACATTTATTCCCTTTAAACAGCAATCCTATGCAATCTAATGTTTGTGAGGCCTACAAGAGCTATCCAGCCACAAAATTCCTTCACGAACTTAACTAGACATGAATAAAGTATTTTTTAGAAACTGTAAATGTGTATGAAGGTATTGATAAAAATAAGTGCAGAATATTAAATATACTTTAAACATAATATATATGCATGACGATAAAAGAAGAGCAGGCATTATACTGTACCTGTAAACATATGGCTAGGTTAACCCTGCAGCCAAATGATGTGCTAACGGCCCTTGGATGGAGACCCAGGTCTTTAAATAACTTTGAAAAAGACTGGGTTAGAGAAATTCGAGGACGCTCCTCAGCCACGACTACACAGGTCCGTACTCTAGACAGGTCCAAGCCTCTAGCCTACAACACAAATGCCAAAGGTCAATAATGCCAGCACATAGATATTATAAGTAGAACGAAGGCAACACTACAAGAGTCTAACAGAAGAAAAGTGAAATCGTGACTACTACTAAACACATTCAAATTTCTTTGCTGTAATGTACAAATCACTGACAAATACGGAATTGGTTTTGCAGATTTTAAACATCAATAGTAAAACATCCCACGTGTTTAGCAAGGTGAATGAGAGGTCATGTAATTATGGAGGATTTATACAAGACTGTTAAAGAGGAAATGGAATAATTTTGCCAACTGTTTCCAGGTTTGCTTACATTTCATAAAATGCGTGAATGATATGGTTACGGTACAACCAAAAACAGACAAAAGGGGGAAAACACTTCATAAACAGGACATGTTTTATGAACTTGAGAACAGATTGGTGTTTAATCCAAGCGCTATGTCTGCCAATAACGTGATCTGGCCTGAATGTGATGTAGACATACCTAAGTTTAAGGAGCTCTATTTCTTTTATAATTACGTTAAGTATTATTTATGAAACATCGCTATTAATGTGTTTTATGCACATATCCAGAAGGCCGGCTGGGTGGTTTCAATTTCCTTCCCCAAATATTTCCTTTTTATGCAGGCCACCATGGGACAACTCTACCATCTGGCCCAAGTAAGAGAAAAATAACAACATCCATTTTACTTGCAAGTTGAGCCTATTAAAGGTTTTGCAGGGTTATAGCACATATTGGTCATATCTAGGAACCTATAAACCAGGGATAGCAAAATTTTTGCCCTCCTGCTGTGGTTAAACTACAATTTACATCATGCTTCTACTTCTAGGAGTCATGTCTGTGGCTGTCTGAGTCTTGCAATGCCTATTGGGATTTGTAGTTTGTAGTTGTACCACAGATGAAGGACCAGAGTTTGCCTACCCTGCTATAAACCATATTAAACCATATTCAGCAACATGGGTAAGCTGAGGTATGAAATAAGCATGAAATATATTACTTCCTCGAAATCTAAATAGTTTTAGGCCCCAACACACTTTCATTTTTGGGTCAGAAGTGCTGTCATCATAACATATGCTTAAAGTAAATATTTTTTTAGAAAAACAAATTTATGTAAAAGTTGCTTAAAAAATAAACAGCAGGTACCCAATAAGTGCATTAATGGACCTTTCAATGTTTTCTTGAGCTTCAGGGCCTTCTGCTAAGTAGAGTTGAGTACTGGCCCACCCCTTTCCGTTCTTTACTACTGGTGCTTAAACATGATGGGTGGACACAGAAACCAAATGATAGGTGCTGAAGGGAACAGGCTAGTCCATGATTTGCGAACCAAAGTTGGTATTTTCTAGGGATGCACCGATATATCGGCCGCCGAAACATATCGGCCGAAAATGGCACTTTTGGCATAATGCCGAAAGATTTCATATCTGAACTTCCTCTGTGCTAGGGAAGATATAGAGTACCTGAGGGTCTCTACTTTTCTTTAATGTTGCAGCTACACAAATGTTGTTTCCAAAGAAAGGTTTTTGTTAATGCTATATAGAACTTTTTATAAAAACTAATATTACCCAGCTCTAACAAAATTCCACCATCGAATCCCTGTAGCACCAATATCAGCACTGTCTCAGAGACTGTGATGAATAGCCAGATCCCAGGGTGCTAATACACAACATAAATCCTATTGTGTTTATGAAAAAGATTTTCATTTTAGATAAATGATTATCCAACTTGGAAGTGGCATGAAAATAAATGTTTTCATCTTTTAGGCGTAGCGCTGTTCAATGCATTAAGGTAAACACCCATTCAATGTAGACCTTAACTTGGTAGGAATAATGAAATGAAATAACTAGCACTGTTAAGAAAAACGTCCCATACAATACAGTACATACATTTATGTTTTGTTTTGTTTAGTGTCTTGCGGTATAGTGGCCAAGTCATGGGTGGCCCACAAACAATAAAAAAATGAAATGCAATATTACAAACTGGAGGTGCACCATTTGCGTAAGTCAAGCCCCCAGAAAAGTAATTTCTTGCCTGTGTGATTGTCTTAGGGACTGCTGCCCCCACCACAGTGCCAAAGCACGTATCCAAGCGCATCGCACTGTGTACCGATTTTTGTTTGTTGAAATGTCACAAGTGAAATTTTCATCCAGTTCTACAGGCACAGCAGGGTGCCAGGGACAGAATGCTGTACTTTTTTAGCACGCACCACCGCATTCCCATTGCACTGGTGGTGTGAACCCAGCGTGTCCTTGACAATACAAATTGCCTGGTCTTGCATTGGGGCTGCTCTGGACCCTTACTAATGTTCTCAGACATCTGCACGAAGATTAAAGTCACATTTTGTTAATCACCTTCAATAGGAATTTCATTTTTGGTGAGATGCTCCCTAAGAGTTAACTAGTTTAAAGGGATGTTGGCACTGCGACTTTCCTCATCACAACACTGAAGGTGTACCAGGTGGTTAAAATGAACCCAGACCCTCCTATTCAGGAGTCGGTTTGGAAAGGACATGGTGAAACGGAACAGACAAAGGGAGGAATCTGCAACAAAGTTCGTTAAAATCCTTGCCATGTACAAAGATCACCCAGTTTACTTTAATAAGCATTTAAATCCCAACGATGAACTTATCTGGTTTGTTGCTTTCTGGTTAAGCACACCATTTAAAAAATGTATATATCTGTTCAACAAGTGCAATCGGTTATGAAAGGACAGGGCGAAACGGAACAGACAAAGGGAGGAATCTGCAACAAAGTTCGTTAAAATCCTTGCCATGTACAAAGATCACCCAGTTTACTTTAATAAGCATTTAAATCCCAACGATGAACTTATCTGGTTTGTTGCTTTCTGGTTAAGCACACCATTTAAAAAATGTATATATCTGTTCAACAAGTGCGCACAACCCAATTAAAAACAAAAACTAATACAGCCTCCATGTTGAGGGACGGGTAAGAAACTCTATTCTATTTTTGTTCGTGGGTTTTGACGCGCTTTAAAAGTAAATACATTTAAAAATAAACTACAACTCTCCTCCCCTTCCCTTTACCCTGGGACTAATATTTTATTTTATAGTTGATGTTGGACGGTTATGAATACCCTTGGTTTCTGTAACGGCAAAAAAAATTAATTCCTATGTCTATGCATGCCCCTACAACCATAATGACGCCAACCAAGGGAATTTTCCAAATAAATGGAGCCTCAAATGATTATAGTAAATGACTGCAACAGATAAGTGGGGAGCTGGGCACTGGCTGACAAACCCATCATGAGATATAAGAAGATAATGCTTGACTCAACATGATGGTATTCACGCTACAATGAAATACCAGTTTTGGATACCCATTAAGATTTTACTTATGAACACAGATATCATTTTATATGCAGAGTTAACAATGCGAAAAATAACCTATTATACAGCCCTAAGTATGCATTACAAATAAATTACATGACTGGGGATGAAATGCTTGCCGTTACCTTTAAGGATTCTGTCTGCAAGCCAAGTCCCTTGGTACAGAGTTCCATTACAGAGTAGGAACAGAATGTGTCTCTAACTTTGTACTGACTCACAGCAAGAAGCCACAAGGCTGGATTGATCTCCAGCTCTGAAGGAGGAATCAGAATAGACTGGTGTCCTGAATATACGCTGTAAAGACATGAGACATATTAGCATGCGCTCTGAGTCAGGCTGCAGTATTTCATTACATGAACATTGCTGACAAGGCAAACTGCTATGACCCAAACATAGCTATTAAATCTAATTTACTATTTTATGTCACTAATGTATGGCGTGTTTCTTATTTGCTGACATATAGGCTAATTAAAAAAAAAAATTGAAAGTTGAAGATGGATGTTTTAAAGTCAATATAACATCAAGTATACATTTCTAATTAAAAATTGATCATCAGAACATATCTGAACTAAGGCAAATATGGGGCTACCACTACTGACCTCCTTTTGAAAATGCTAGTTGATTCTCCATATCTGCCTTAAATACTTTCTGACCCTCGCAAACAAGCAGCTAAGAAAGTTAAACAACCTGATCTGCATGCTTATTCCAGGTCAGTGACTCAGAAGTCCTTAACTAGCATTTTCATAAGAAGTAATAAACAATGTCTTTTTTGCTTATCAGACTTTTGCTAAAAGTCACTTTTTGGGTAAGCACACCAGTTAAAAAAATTATATATCTGTTCAACAAGTGCGCATAACCCCCCCCCCCAAAAAAAAAAGTTGTTGATCCAGGTGTTGTCTCTACAGAACAACTCCCCCCTTTGTTGTGGAGATGAGTAGACCTAACACACGTCCTGTCTTAGGGTAACAATAATACTCCTCTATAAAGGTAGTAGACTGAGTAAGTGTTTGCACACCAGAACAAGAATTTTGTTTACTGGCAGGACCACCTAGTAAAAAAAAAAAATTAAAAACAAAAACTAATACAGCCTCCATGTTGAGGGACGGGTAAGAAACTCTATTCTATTTTTGTTCGTGGGTTTTGACGCGCTTTAAAAGTAAATACATTTAAAAATAAACTACAACTCTCCTCCCCTTCCCTTTACCCTGGGACTAATATTTTATTTTATAGTTGATGTTGGACGGTTATGAATACCCTTGGTTTCTCTAACGGCAAAAAAAATTAATTCCTATGTCTATGCATGCCCCTACAACCATAATGACGCCAACCAAGGGAATTTTACAAATAAATGGAGCCTCAAATGATTATAGTAAATGACTGCAACAGATAAGTGGGGAGCTGGGCACTGGCTGACAAACCCATCATGAGATATAAGAAGATAATGCTTGACTCAACATGATGGTATTCACGCTACAATGAAATACCAGTTTTGGATACCCATTAAGATTTTACTTATGAACACAGATATCATTTTATATGCAGAGTTAACAATGCGAAAAATAACCTATTATACAGCCCTAAGTATGCATTACAAATAAATTACATGACTGGGGATGAAATGCTTGCCGTTACCTTTAAGGATTCTGTCTGCAAGCCAAGTCCCTTGGTACAGAGTTCCATTACAGAGTAGGAACAGAATGTGTCTCTAACTTTGTACTGACTCACAGCAAGAAGCCACAAGGCTGGATTGATCTCCAGCTCTGAAGGAGGAATCAGAATAGACTGGTGTCCTGAATATACGCTGTAAAGACATGAGACATATTAGCATGCGCTCTGAGTCAGGCTGCAGTATTTCATTACATGAACATTGCTGACAAGGCAAACTGCTATGACCCAAACATAGCTATTAAATCTAATTTACTATTTTATGTCACTAATGTATGGCGTGTTTCTTATTTGCTGACATATAGGCTAATTAAAAAAAAAAATTGAAAGTTGAAGATGGATGTTTTAAAGTCAATATAACATCAAGTATACATTTCTAATTAAAAATTGATCATCAGAACATATCTGAACTAAGGCAAATATGGGGCTACCACTACTGACCTCCTTTTGAAAATGCTAGTTGATTCTCCATATCTGCCTTAAATACTTTCTGACCCTCGCAAACAAGCAGCTAAGAAAGTTAAACAACCTGATCTGCATGCTTATTCCAGGTCAGTGACTCAGAAGTCCTTAACTAGCATTTTCATAAGAAGTAATAAACAATGTCTTTTTTGCTTATCAGACTTTTGCTAAAAGTCTGATTGCATAATGATAAATCTAAGGGCTCATTCACATGGGTCCATATTCGTATGGCGCGCACATCCGTGCAGAGACCTGCTCCCAGGGGGGACAGGTGCAGCCTGTAATTGCATTTAGCTGCCTGTATGTCCCTTTGACAGGACGCAGACAGTCTGGATCCAAGTCCATGCACCTGGACCTGTACAGATGTGCAGCTTCAAGTCGGCGTGTAGCCACATGTTCCTATAGTGATGTACAGGTGACTGAATGCAATTACATGGTGCACCTGTCCCTCCCGGGAGCAGGTCTCTGCAGAGTCGTCCATGCCATATAGATGTGCACACCCGTGTGAAGGGTCTGCATTGATGGGCTTTTGTCAACTTTAATCAGATTTTGCATTTCTATACAAGTCGAAGGCAATCCAAAACCCGTTTGAAATAGGTCAGAAGCAGGTCAAAAGGTGGTCAAATGCACCTGTCGAAGGATCTCAGAATCATTTCAAACTGATGTTAAACTGATCCCACCAACACAAGCCCAAAGCTCCTTAACACAGGCCCTAAAACTGAAATGTAAAAACAAGAGTACAATTATAGAAAATAGATTTACACATGTAAAATAGATTTACACAAAACTTCACATGTGTAAACTTAATTTCCAGTACAAGTCAAGCTAGGCCTGACTAAAAGGACCAACAGGCAGTTAAGGAGGCAAGAAGGGCGGACCAAGCTCAATGTAGTACAGCAATGTCACTTCTCCCTAATAAGCGCATATGGATTCGCTGTGCAGTATATACCATCTGTGCACTTACAAGATTTTTTAGACACATTCATTTAACAGCTTGTACACAAAAAAACATACCTACAGAGGCACCACAGGACAAAGCCCAATCCACAGTAAGGATCTAGACAAATAGCCACCTCTCTGGATGGGTAGAGCTCACACTGCAACTTAATGGATCGACAGAAGGCACTAGTGGCTGCATGGGACATCTGAAAGCAAACACAGTTTGTTATGGCCAGTCCTTGGGGCAAAACACTTTAGCAAGTGATAAATAGGAAAACACACTTATTGATAGAAACAACAGAAACTGCAATGTGCCCATGCAAAGAGCGACACTGCATGCCGATTCATTCACTCCAATTTTGTTTTGCGTTTTTTTTTCTGGAGACACATTGTTGGATACCTTTAAAAATTGTATCATATTAACCATCCTGGGGATACTGTTGCTTGTGGCCACCAGTCACGATTTGGATCGGTATTATATTGATATATATATGGTGTTTTCCATGATTATTGCATTTCTACAGAGCCATGTGTAGGGTACTATTTAGGATTTTAGATGTTTGTCTGATGTATATTTATGGTGTGTGCAAATTTTGGGAAAAAAACTATTTTCATTGAACATAAATTGATATTCACTATCATTCTATGTTGGGATCTCTGTTAAAGGGGAAATAGACTTTTGAATATACACACACACACACATACATACATACATACATACATACATACATACATACATACACACACACACAGTATGATTAAAAGCCATATTTAGATCCAACTAGCAAATGTTCCTGAATCCATCTCTATATCAGTTTCCTTTAACCCCCTCCATAGCACTCGCCAGCCTAGGGGTAAGGAATGGGCAATACACTGAGCCAAATAGAGCTCTATTGCGTTGTACAGTGTTTGTCAGCCCAACACTTAAAATGCTTACACACAAAGCTAACAGAGTGTTGACCTCATCAGTGGCCTGCTGTTCATTCAATTTCCAATCACAGGCTGGGGGAGGAAATAACTAAGAAAATATAAATATGGGGCATACAATGAGATCCTGAGATGGGAATTCGGCTTTATAAAAATAGGAACCATTTTAACCAATTATGTTCAAACACTGTGACCGATTATGTGACTATAACAGAGACCCTCCCACTCAGCACACAAGGAGGAGAATGTGAATATATTTCACATGTAAGTGCCAATCAACAGCAGGAGGCAAGGGCCTACAATGACATTTTGTTAAAAGTCTTTACAATGTATATAACTGTTATTGAGAGAATTGTGTTCATTTTTTGCAACAAAAGGGGAGTTTAGTAACATAAATCACAAAGCCCTATAGCACTAAAAGAGCTACTAACAAGCATTATGATACATTTGGAGTAGGCTCATTTAAATTTTAAATATGCTCCTAATGAACTGAAATAGAAGGCCTGGCCCCAGCTCTTGAGCCATTAAATATTTATGATAGAGCAGAACATTTTTTACAACACTGGCTGCCTGACTTGGAAATTATAGCTTGTTAAAGCAATCTGTAACAGATTTGTTCTGAATGCAGTTTGCGGTGAGTAAATACAGAACATTTAGAAAAATTACTTTTCCAAAGAAAAGCTGTAGTATTAAGCGTGCATTTTCACTGCAGTGAAGCTGTCACACAACGGCAGTTTGTTTCTCAGTGTGCCAGCTTCAGTATACTTCAGTGAGAAATAGTTACTTCAGTTGTCAATAAAAAGATAAAGTAAGAAAAAAAGACCAATCGCATAAGGAACAGCCAGTCAATGCCTGTAAAGCGGTGTATTGATTTTTAGAAGGCAGTCAACTGTACAAGAACAATCTGATGGTTCTCATTGGATCACTGCAGGTTAGCCTATAAGCCCTGCTTGGCTTCAGTGCAGTAGAGAGTAACACTGGGCAAGGCACAAATGCCAGTTCTCTGTGTCCACTAGCAGGGTTCGGAAAAACCCACAATATAAATCTCTTCGGTCAGATCTGACAACTATTATTTTATTTCTTTGGTTACACTAGCAACTTTTCTTTTTCAGCAATGTCAGTCCATAGTTATACCACTTAATTTAATACTGATCCAGGCTAGAAAAGCGTGTTCCTGGGCACTCCTTTGGATCACTGCACTGCGCTGTCACCCCTTGGGCACACTGATTGCCATGGTGGAGTGCCGGAGTGCCACACCACCTGCAAAGATGTTTCAAATTTTCAAATGCTGTTTACGGTTGTTGTTTATTGGTGTGTCTTTTTTTTGGTCTTTTCAAATTTTTTTCTAGCTTTGTCTTTTCGGGTCTTTTCTTCTGAGCCACTAAGTGCATGAACCTGCTGCACTGCTATGTGAACCTATGTAAACCGGGGTACATTGGATGGGTTTCCTTTACGTGGGCCGTGGTAACTAATGCCTTGTACACACACCATCACCATGGCTAGATTTCCATCTCTTAATGTTAAAGGGCTGGATTCTATTGGCAAGTGGAAGCTTGTCGCTTAAGTTCCTGAAGGACAGAAGGCTGTTGTAACCTTTCTTCAAGAAACACACTTCGACACCACACCCATTATGCCTTGGCTTACTCTGCCCCAAACACTAATAGGAAGTCGGCGGGTGTGGCCATTTTATTTCATAAGGATATTACTTTAACGTAACTCTCATATTGATACTGAGGGCCATTACCTTATCCTGAAGGACCACCCTAATGGGCTCCCAATCGCCCTTGTAACATGTATACCCCAAACACTTTGCAATCGCTTACTGACCTGAGGTGACTGTAATTTGATGCTTAACCCACAATTTGACCGGTTGCCCTTGGAAGGCTCCCCTTCTTCCCCTTCTACTGCTCGTCAATCTTGACATTTTGGATGTCTGATCCAAAAATATGGCCTTTATGATGTCTGGATGGTTTGGTATCCGACGGCTCATCAATATACCTTTTTGTCTTGAGCCCACAATACTCACACTAGAATTGATTATTTCTACGTCAACGTCTCAACTTCTAAGATTGAACATAGACACTCTCATACACCCCATCTTGTGGTCTGACCATGCGCCTAGCCTCTTAACTCTGGGTCTGTTAAGACGCACCCCACTAGGGTATGCCACTGGCATTTGAATTACTTTTTAGTTAAAGTAGAGCCTATTAGGCAGCACCTTAAACAAGTGTTAAGACACTAACTTCTTTTTGAAAATCTTCATTCTGTCGCCCATATTGCTACTTTTTGGAAAGCTCATAAGACAGTTTTTCAGGGTCAATGTATTAAAAAGGTCTCCAGAGAAAAATGCGGTTGCTATCTGCTCCCAACTTATGCAACAGCTCCAACGCTCCGAAGCCAAAGTGCAATCTCATCCCTAACTTGTAACTTTATGAAAGGTGGCCCCCCTACATTCCCAACTGAAAAACCTTGATAGGGTAAAGCTGAAAAGGCTCTGATGTACCTCTGCCAGCATTTTAATGATGAAGGTAATAAGGCCGACATGCTGCTAGCTAACCAACTGCTGGGCAGAGCTTCTCACTCTACACCACATAGCATTAGAGACTCCTCTGGCTCCTTGGTTTATGCATCAGACAGTATTGCTGAGGTGTTTGGTGAATTTAAAAAGTTCCTCTGCTCCACAGTGTCTGACTCTCAGCAACCACTTACAGCTACTCTTCCACAGAGCATACAGGATTATCGGACTCAAAGTGGCCTTCCGGCTTTGAAAGATGTGGCTATATTCCAGCTTAACAACCCGATTACGCTTGAAAAAAATCCTTTATGTTATTAGGGATTTCACCCTTCGTAAGTCTCCAGGTCCTGATAGCTTGCTGAATCTTTATTCGAAAATGTACTCGCTTACATTGATTCCTCACCAGACCTCTCTCTTTAATTGCTTCTTTGAGGGCTCCTCTATTCTGCATACATTGTTCCATTCGAACTGGGTAAACATCCTTAGGCTGGGTTCACATCTAGGCGTATTGAATATGCGCGTTTGTCGCGCGTTTCACGGTAAAAAACGCACGTTTCCGAGGGCTACCTGGCTGTATCCCACTGGATACGCGAGGCAAATACGCCCCAAAGAATATCCTGTACTTCTTTGGGCATAGGGCGTTTTGCAGCGTGTTCCTACGCACTGTAAAACGCCCAGGTGGGAACCATGCCCATAGGCAATCATTGGTTTTCACATGTTGAGCGTTTTACAGAGCGTAGGAATGCGCTGTAAAGCGCCCAGGTGTGAACCAGGCCTTAGGATCTCGCCACCCTATAGCTTTATTGAACTCTGACCTAAAAATCTTTACTAGGTTTCCTGCCAACTGGTCGGGGCCGTTTTTACCATCTATTGTACATAAGGATCAGGTAGACTTTATTGTGTATCGCTAGGCAGTTGATAACACCAGAATGGTCATAGATATTGTTGATGCACTAAATAGGACTGAAAATGAGGCCCTCTTTTGGAGTTTAGGCATGGAAACCGGTTGAGTTGGCCCTTTCTCTTCGCCACCTTTCAACACATAGTTGTCCGGAGTTCTTTTCTTCAGGCTATTTGTGCACTTTACAGTATCCTCCACAGCAGCGGTTAAACCCCCTCATGAGACCTCTCCCACTTTTTCTATTTTTAATGGTACTCACCAGGGGTGTCCTTTATCTCCATTGCTATTTGCTCTATGCATAGAGCCACTGACCTCTATTATTCTTAATTGTCCAGATGTCATTAGGGTTACTACACAGAATAAGCAATTTACCATCTCTCTGTATGCAGATGACATTTTATAAAATTTTACAAAACCCACTGGTATCTCTGCCAAACCTACATAGACTCTTGCAGGAATATAAGATGTTCTCGGGATATAAGATTAATATATCTAAGATGAGGCCCTTCCAATCAATGATTTCAGATATATATAAACTATTGTGTGCTTCCAGAGGACTCCTTTTCCAAACACCAATATACACCGAGCAGTCATAAAATTATGACTACACACCTAATATTGAGTATGTCCCCCTTTTGCTGCCAAAACAGCTGTGGTATCTGGCACCAAGCCGTCAGCAGGAGATCCTTTAAGTCCTGTAAGTTGCAAGGATGGGGCCTCTATTGAACGGCCTTATTTTTCTAACATGTCCCACAGATGCTCAATTGGATTGAGATCTGGAGAATTCGGAGGTCAAGTCAACAACGTGAACTCGTTGTTGTGGGCCTCAAACCATTCTTGACCAATTTTTCCAGTGTGGCAGGGTGCAATGTCCTGCTGCAAGAGGCCACTGCCATCATGGAATACTGTTTCCATGAAGGGGTGTACTTGGTAAACAACAAACTGCAATGCACTGTGTGGTCAGACAACTTTCTATTGGAACCAGCATTAACTTTTCAGTGATTTGAGCTACAGTAGCTCTTCTATTGGATCGAACTACACGAGGCAGCCTTCACTCCCTTCTTGCATCAATGAGCCTTGGCTGCCCATGTCGCCGGTTCACAGGTTTATCTGTTCTACCTTATAGCTAGCAGTAGTTAGTCATATTTAACTGAACCTGTTCTACAACTTTAAAATATTTCTCTGTTAATCTAAGCAGCTTCTCCAGTTCTAAAATGAGATGTTAGTATTCTGATATTGCTAGAGCTTTAGACAACCACTCATTAGGATGGGGTTTAGCCTATTCCCTCCACCTAACTATTGCCACCTTATGTTATGAGCAGCCCCACTGACTAACAAGGAGGAGTAGGGGATGGGCCAGAGCTCAAAGTTGCAAGCTCTTAGTGCTGGCAACGGAAAATACCTATGCCTTCACAGAATATTCTTTGCTCTGTTAGGCACATCAGCATGCCCCAAAACTGTAGGCGAAAAACATTACATGCCACCAACCTTGATCTTCTCTGGAGCCTGCAAGCCTCAACACCTTCCACATCTGGCTGATACATCTGGCAGAAATTAGTTACACACTCTCCCACTGTCAGCATTGTTTGTATTTCAGGTCTTAGGGCTTCTGCTAACAACTGATCAAGAAGTTGGGTGGGACCCAAATGCACATGTCTGTACACAGCCCCAACCCACTGCTTATAGGCTTGACTAGATCTTACGAGCAGTGGTCCCACTGTGCAAACACACCTGACAAAGTGAAATCCTATTGTCCTTTACTGATGCTGTACAAAGTGCTCATAAAGCAGCATGAGTTGATCCAGATGCAGGCAGAGCATGGATGACGTTCAAAAAGGCAGAGTACTCAAAATCTTACTACAGTAAACTCTGTTATCCGGTATTCAACTAACCAGAAAAAAAAAAATCCTGTGTCCTCACTGTTCTGATGATCTGCGGCATATATTATCCTGGAAACGACCGTGTGCCTATTTGTCTTAATTTTTTTTAAATGTGTGTCTATTTGTCTTTGATTACTGCATTTCAATATTAATATGAAGTCAATACAGAGTTTATGTTATGGTATGGTGTAGTATGGGGCATGGCATTAGTTAGACCTATTTTTTATAGTAACTCTCAAGCAACCAGAAACTAAATTTATCCGGAATCTACCAATCCCCATGGATGCCGGATACCGGCAAGTAAACTGTTTGTAGTAGTGTCAGCAATGTAAATGGCATCATGTGAACAGTGCTAAGTACAATCTTTACTTTGCTTAACATTACACGAAAATAATATGAACAGAGATCACATCGACCAATCATGTCATGGCAGAAAACATGCAAAGATGCCTGAAATAGTAATACTTTTGCACTGTGTACATACCTTTACCCCTGCAAGCATTCCAGTTGTAGATACACTAAAATCAAGGTAAGCCAACGTTTCTGGGTCAGAGGGCTTGTAGATTTGGGAAGGTCTTTTCTTTGGCAAATCATCTAATTTAAAAAAAAAATGAAAAAGGTGCAATTATTTCAATGATATTTCTTATTCACACAACAGCCTTACACCAGCTCATGAGGTAGATGTAATTCCTCTGTACTTTCTGTAATCAATAACAGGATAGTAGAATGGAATATTTGGCTGTGCTAGTAATGGAGAATGTGGTAAAACCTCTCTGTATCTAATGTGCAGGAACGTGATTACACTCAGACAACATTGACACCTTGCACTCCAACATCCCACCCCGCTTCAGGTGCCGTTTTTGTCTTTTCTTTACATAGATACGTATGTGGGTGGCAAAGCATCATTCTATAAGGCATTTGTAGATACAAGCTTCCCCAAGCCCTCTCGACCCTTGGTAAATTTGTACTCATCAATATATAATTAATTTTTCTTTAAATGCCAGTGGTCTAAATTTGACAGGATATTGACCTCTTACAGTCCCTAGTACAAACTGGGAGCATGAAACATGATGATAGGAAAAGGGAGCAATGTGACCGAGAGATGAGCTTATCGGTTTGATGCTTCACCTTTTACTGTCCAGTCACATGCTCGGGGAGGGACAAGACTTGTAATTGTTTCAGAACTGCAGCAGAAAAAAAAATATGAATCCTATAGCAGACAAAACAGCTCCATGTGTATTACATCTGTGTATTTAGCTGTTCACTAAGAGTTCAGCTTGAAAGGACTGTGTTTTCTCTATAACAATTTCCCACCGCTTTAAACCAACAGAATGATGGTAACCAAATAATTGATACAAGATCTGTAAACAGTGCTAGCGTGATATGTCAATGCTGCTTAGTATTTTCAGTCATATGCACACAAGGGATGTCTTCAATGCTTGTTTAATAAAGAAGTTGAAATAAACCATAATAGTAAAATATAATTACAGAAAATGCTAAACCGATTGTGTAATAGTGTCTTCTTAATTAATTTGTCTCCAGCTGTTTTCATAAATTATGGCCTCGAGACCTGTGCGAGAATATCAGTCTAAGGCTATTTTCCCCGATTGCTGCGGTATAGTTATCACTGTAAATAAAACTCTGGCCATGGATGCTGGGAATTTTTTAGGGAAACTGCAACCAATATAGATAAAATTCTATGTTGTATAAACTCCCCCGACACTTCTAAAACATCCCACAGTGTTTAATAATGATAGAAAACTGTACTAGAGTCTAAGAGGCTCCACTGAGATTTTGCATAAAAAAAGCAAACATGACTGTGCTAAAACTTAAAGAAAACCTATAATATAAACTAATGTTCACTTTAAGAGCACTTTACTACCCCACCCTCCCCTATAGGAGGGTGGGGTAGTTATATCAGGAGATACTTACCTTGGAGTTTAGCAGGTCAAATGATGCTTCAGTTCAGAGGGAAGTGACCTAAAGCCAGTGCTTTGTTGTGATGTCAATAGTTTATACTTAAATGCATCTCGCCCAACGTTGGTACACACAATGCAGAGCTGTAGCCAGCATGACATCAGCTCCCATATATTTAATCTATGTATTTCGTGGTTTGTTTGGAGTTCAGATTGAAATATGATATTATAATATTAACAGCTTCACCTACTAAACCTTAAAGTGGGAGTATGAATATAGAATGCCAAAAGACACCCCTAAAGGGAAGCAGTGGTTTTAAAAATTGCATTGGAGTTAAGGGGCTATTTTGTGTATAAATCTTAAATATCCCCAATATCTTCCAATAGACATAAAGCAAGTTCTCACCAGTGTCCAGGATCGGAGGCCACGTTCTAACATCTACGGCTGCTGCTGCCTCTCTTGACCTTAACAGTTTACAAATGAGTTGCGTCGTCATTAAACAGGCAGAACGACTCACCTAAGGGACACAGGGGGAAAATACAAGTAATTCATTCACTTTGTTCACTACACAAATCAATGTACAGCTCTCTAAAAGTATTGTCTTTCCCAGAGAAGTTCTGCAATATCAATATTCTTCTTTAACACGTGCTCAGCGAACAACCCAAATTAATGTGCTCTGTTATGACTGTGTCATAAACACCAAGCTTGGGAAGTCTGGATTTGCAATCAGTGGTGCGCGTGTATAAGAACTTTCAAAATGTGGGGAAAACATCAAGTTACACTTACTAAAATGTTTTTGCATGAGAGCAACATGCTAGCAAGTATGTCATAGCGTGACTAATCCTTCCTGCTGTATGGTGGTTTAAAGAACTGTCAGAAAATAAGCGTCTCAAATGCTTATTTGGAGGATGAAAGGTGTGATTTCCTGTTCAGACTATATATATATATTACTGTTGCTGCTCAATGTAGGTATGGGCTTGTAAAGCAAAGGTGTGCAGTAATCCATACCGACAAATCAGATTACATCTTTTGGGAGTTTTTATTGAAGTCAGACCAATGAATGATGACTGCTAGGGGACTTCTATTGGGTACAACACTATACTGTGTTCTTTGCCAACTAAGGTGAACTGTGAACAACAAAGTCATCTTTAGAAATGTTTAGTAATGACAATCTACAAACACATACTTCTAGATAATTGCCGGCTTATTACTAGATTACCAAATATCCCTTTACTTCCTGGAAATGTGGCACATGTGACCATACACATCTCGGGGGAGGAAAATGCCTTTCCCTGAGTTCTTGTGAGATTACAGATGAGAGTTCCTAGCAATGCTCTGCTGATGCAACCTTCCCAGAATGCATTGCTTGAGCACATTACATCATTTGTGCCAAAGTGGACTAGGAAGTGGATACACTCTAGTAAATGAAAAACATGTTTGTTTTGAATTTTCTTTGTTACAATTTTTAGTAATCCAAGACAGCGCTGATTTATACAAGGTACACACGGATATAGTTGATCTTTAGTACATGATCCTTCCTTTTAGAAAATATTTTAGAAACATACAACAATATTGCAAACACTGCATATATCTGTCACAAGGAGCTAGTTAAATTGAGAGATTTAATTTCATTCAACTTTTAGTGAAAACCGTCATATATTGTTTTGATATTTTGTTGCATTGGAGTCATCAGGAATGGTAAAATTAAAGTGTATTTCCACTTTTGCCGAGACGCTTGAGAAAACCCCTTTATATGTTTATGTGTTCCTATTCACACAGAATAACTAAATCTTTAAAAAAAATATTTCTTACCTTTTAGATGTGTCTCTGTAGCAGGCCTTTGGAGCTTCAATTTCAAAGTGACAGGAACTCTGTCTGTCCCCATAGAAAGACCAGGGGCATTCTGAGCTTCCTCTCCTTACCATACAATGCTTGTAGATCTTAAATCCTTTGTTAGGACAGACAGTGTTCAAATCATATTTACAACTGATAATGAGATCTGCCAGCACAGTGCAGGCAGGGTTTATTAGGTTTAAGATTAACTCCACAATCCACTTGCATTTAAGAGGAAAATTCAGTTTAGAGAAAAATGTTTTCTTTCAAGTGCAAGTAAAATGTAATCAGTAATTTGTAAAAGTTACGCTACGTGAATGAGAACATTTAACAAATATAAAATAGGTGTTAACCCGATCTGGCTGCCAAAGTGGAAATACACTTTATGTTTATGTGCAAAGAAAACAGACCATTATTAGCCTCATTATTTTACTTTTTGTTTTCACAGAAATAAAGAAAAAACACACAGCAAAAAAAAAATGAATAAGATGAAGCGATTACACAAATATTGAAAGAAAAAAACAACACAAATATAAAGAATACACCAATTAAAATCAACTAAACCACCTACCTAAATACATCTTTCCCCAAAAAACAGAAACCACAAATAAAGAAAAGAAACAAAAAAAACAAAAAAGGGACAAGCCCCCCCCCCCCCCCCCCCCCCCCC